CGGCGCTGGAAAATCTGTCAAATGTTTCAGTATGACTTTGCTAAGCTACGAAGCCGCACCGCTTGATGGATTGTCGGAGCTTTACGGCTATTGTAGGCAGGAGCCTCGCGGAGTGATACGTACTGCACTTCAACATAATATTACCGTATTGTGTGTGTGTGTATAACCTCTTTTTAGGTTTTGTGGATATTATACATGGTTATGCTGATGATATGTCGGCCAATTTCCACTGGAAATGCCTTTTGGTTAAACTGTCAGCGAGGAATTGCATTTGCACTGCAAATTTTTTATAAAATTTTAATGCACTTAAAAAGCTGCTTGTGTAAGAGCAAAATACATTGATGGGGGTTTTTTTTGCACTAATAAAGTTGAGGAGTTGTAAAGTATTTTGTCTAGTGTCAATTATATCGTCAGTTATATCGTTATCGCAAATTTTCTAATGTATATCGTGATAGATATTTTTGGTCATATCGCCCTGCTCTACTACAGAATACCAGGTTCCATTCCTATGAGCAAAGAACAGGAAACTGAGGCTACAATTCACACGAGCTCAGGAAACAGAAGATTGGACAAACACTGCCTGGCCTGATGAAACTTCAGACGGTGGGTCAGGCAGTTCAGGCTGCTGGTGGTGGTGTAATTGTTTTCTTGGCACACTTTGTGTGCCAAGAAAACACTTTGTTTTCTTGGCTTTGTGTGCCTACCTGAATATTGTTGCTTACTATGTCCATCCCCTTATAACTCATGGTATCTAGTTTACATTATAAAAGCCAACTGCAGCGACTAAAGTCATTTTGTACCATATAAATAAAATAAAATTGAATTGAATAGAAAACGAGTTCGGTGCACTCAAAAGGACTTAACAGTAACTACACCTCAATCCAATAGAGCAACATTGGGATGTGGTGGAATGGGAGATTCACATCATGGATGTGCAGTCGACAAATATGCAGCAACTGCTCGATGATGTAATGTCAACATGCTGCTGAATCTGTGCCATGAATAATTAATGCAGTTCTGAAAGCAAAGAGGGTCCAACCTGTTACTAGTAAGGTGTAACTTTAAAAATGTGGCAGAGTGAGTGTATATGGAAAAAAATTAATTATAGTATTTTTGGCGCCTACATCATATTTTGTCTTATTTTAAGGCCTTTAAGAGTGACACAGATCGGTCGATGTAATTTAAAGTGTAAACATCGTGATTGTCAGTGAATGGTTTAATTTTCTCTTTCCTGCAATTTCATGTGCAGACGCATGATTCAAAATTCAATTACTCAATAACAGATTGTAGAATAAATTACTGCATGAGTCAATGAAGGCACAATACATTACTATGAAATTGTGAGGTAATTCAGGAAAATGGTTCAAATGTGACTCATAGTTGTTCCTGCTTTAACAATAAAATAGTTGCATGGGTTATTATTGTGCCATTCCAGCAGTGTTTATTTTCCTATGTTAGCTTAAATTTTTTCATAAAAATGACTTTGCCCAAACATTTAATGAATCCACTTTTATAACAAAGCCTGGGTGTTTGATTTCCTGTTGCACTGGCCTAAATCGAGGAGGAGATAAATGGCGTGAGTGGGTTCCCTGCTGGGTTTTTGTTACGAAAGCGGTACAAAATAAGCAAATCACTGTGAACATGGCATTTCAACCTGCAACAGCAAGAGCAGTCTGCTAATGTAACAAGAAAAAGGATGGAAATATATTTTCTGATAAGAAACAGAAGTGCTTTGATGACCATTTATAACACGAGGATTACATTTACAAAAACACAGAAATGTCCTGAGGTGAAGTTTAAAGCGTTTGGTCAGCTATGGAGACAAAATAAAACCTTCTTCAGTTGATTTATCGGAACTATAGTTATGATTTGGATTGATTGGCATTGTGTGATTTTTCACTTACTATTTCTACTTTTACTACTATTACTACTAATAATATTTTATTTTTAATAGGCAATTTGTGTCTCCCTACAGAATATATGTGATTTGTGATCACATACAGTAATGTTCAGGTTAGATCTCTATTTATCACACAAAAGCATTGATATTATGGACGCTCATCATCAAGAGTCAGGTGCATAAACTTCATAAACAAGAAAGCGTGGAAGTTATGGTTTGATGACCCAAAAGCCTGAAAGTCAAAATCATGAAATCAGTTCATATAAATTATACATAAAGGCAAAACTTTTATGATAAGGCATTTCCACTAATGCAGAATTGGTTCTGTTCTGGTTCAAAATCTAAATTTGAACTCTTCCACTTACGTAATAATTAAGGATTTAAGGAAGAGATTCATTTGCGAGCTTTAAGGATTCTAGCCAATCAACTTTTGTTTACCCCATTGGCAGATGTTGTTCTCAAAACAAGAACGTTTTGTCAGTTTTCAGAGTATCTGGCTTATTTCAAGTAGAGCCCTTTTGCAGTGTACCCTGTAACTGGTAAATAAAGCTCAAGATGAGCTGAAATATCTTATTATGAAAAAGTTATTTTCCTAGAATGAGCTTAATTTTCTTGTTAAGAATATGTTTTGTTTTTAGACAAAAAAGAGAAAACACGTCCATAAACAAGGTTTTTTTAACTTTCTTGAAAATCATTTTTGCAGTGTAGGGTTAATGACACTCTTCTTCATGCTGAATGAATTCAAATTATATCGTCATATATTTAGATTTTAAAAAAATGACACTAATAATGGGGGAAATGCTAAAATTCATCCTCGCTTAAGCTAACTTTGTTTTGCTGTGATTGCTCACCTTGTTGTATTTTCTGTGTGATAACCTTCAAAATCATCTATTAGCACTTATTTCTGCATTATAACATCATTACTGATATCATATTTACATATTTTCAACCTGTTATTCACAAGTAATCATATTGTTACTAAACTATTACAATTCTCTTTTGCCTTTGTCTGCATTTTTAATGTTTTTACTTTATATGTACTTTGTTGTGGGCATTTGAATTATCTGACTATAAGCTCCAGCAGTAAAGTTTGATAATTACATGGTACTGCTTTTCCTACTGCCACATTATTAGCAAGCAGTAATATAAAGTGCTAGTAAAAGAAGTTTGCAGCCAAAAGGTTGGTTCATGCTGGAAACCACTTTGTCTTTGATGTAAATATGTAATTGTGTATGTTTCTGTTCTGTGTCTTGTGTACTGTTTGTTGTATATGTGTCTTTCTTGCTGCTGTTACACCCAGATTTCCCCTTGTGGGACAATTAAAGGATTATTCTCACTAAATCACAGGTCCTCAGCCACGATGACTTACTCGATCTGTTGTGCTTAACTGGGAGAAAAACATGGAAAAGTCGTGTCTCACCTGGTTATTATATATGTCTGCACCACAACCATATCCTACTGATGTTTCTGTGCTGTACTACAAAAAATGCTTTCAATCTGTTGCTAAAACCTTGCAGAGAAGCAATAGAAGGTCACCCATTGTGCCTGTTTTCTGACTCAGTCCTACAAAACTTTTCTTGAAAGACAACATAGAGCCACCAAAAATCCACATAGAAATGTTATCAAGTCATCTAAGATGCTCATGCTCCCAAAAATTAAAGGAATATTTTGAGAACACAATCTGATCTTAATGGGAAAATAAATCATGCTGGATTATCTATACTAATATGGACTGGATAATAGTATCCATTCCTTCTTCCTCCAGCAACTGCGTGCAAAATCTTGGACATGAGGGATATTGTTGTCCTCTAAGAGGAACCCAGGAACCACTGCACTAGCATGATGTCTGAGAATACGCCTAAAGAGGTCATACTGAACAACATTACAGCATAACCTTCTCCAGACCGCTTCACATCTGTCACACGTGCTCATGGTGACCCTCCTCTTATCTGTTAAAAGCACAGGGTACCAGTGATGGACCTGCCAGTTCTAGCGTTCTATGCCAATCAGGCCGGGGGTGAGCAGAGGGCTCACTACAGGACGCTGGGCCCTCATACCACTCTCATGAAGTCTGTTTCTGATTGTCTGGTCGGAGACATTCACATCACTGGCCTGCTGGAGGTTATTTGGTAGGACTCCAACAGCACTCATCCTGCTCCTCATAACCCAGTCCTCCTGATGGGATAAGGGCCTTCTACAGCCCTGAACATCTATCCCAGAGTAACTGCCTGTTTCCTGGTATCTCCTCCATGCTTGTGTTCTTCAGTCAGAAAGAATCAGGAGGATAAAAATGTCAGCGGCCCCCACCTGTAAAGCCATTCCTGTTTTAGGGGTTGTCTCATTGTTGCCCCTCCAGTGCACCTGTTGTTTATTTCATTAACATCAAAGCAGCCGAAACTGATTAACAACCTCCTCTGCTACTTTGACCAGATCAATATCCCACAGGTTTAATTGACTTGATTGATGCTATACTCTGACTAAAAAGTGAGAGTAGTGTATGTTCTTTTCTATTTCCTCTGCTCTGATTAAACTGATTATCAAGCTTAGACAGTTTTACTTCCTCAAACTTCTGTACATGACTGTATAAATTCTTGTTCCTCACAACAGTGCCCACTGCAGTCACCAGAGATACACTGAAATCTGGCAAGTCGAGAAACAGAAGATCATCTGACAGGTTGTAGCAAACACTTCTGTCCTTGTTATCTAAGCACGGAGAGGTAGACCTGAAAGTGAGTGCTTTCAAAGGTGTGTAAACATGGCTGTGTATGAAGTTATATTAAGTACAGTACAACAAACTGCAGCATCACGCTCGTGGTAAAAACACGTTTGCTTTTCTTCCCTTTTCCAAATAAGTTAATCTGGAGCACCTGTCTGGTTCTATGATTGCTCCCTCGTCAGAGGTTGGTGCAGATCTCAGGGGTGAATAAAATGAAAATAAAATTACTACTGATAGATAATGACTGCCAAAACTATCAAAGTAAATCCCTTATTATCCTTTTTGCTTAATTGGGGTTTTTAACCTTATTAAATCTGCTCCCTGGAGATGGTAAAACAGCCCCAGTTTCTTTTTGGATGTGCCTGCCAGTGTTTGCATACTGACGTTTTGACGTAGGGGTCGGAGAAGCCGTTGGCATCCATGGCGGCAAGGTGAGCACAGCGTATGATGCCCACTACCAGGCAAGATTTCTGGGTGTTGTACTTCAGAGAAATCATGATTCGTCCACGTTCCTCCAGAGACTTGTCTTCCGTCTTGACCTGCAGGGTGGAAATGAGAAGATTTAGGATTCAAAACCAGCTGAGCTTTCAAAAGACTGACAGTTATGCCAACAAGCGCCTTGGCCAAAAATCAAACGCAATTATTGAAGAAAGTCAAGCGACTCACAACAAAAGGATGATGGCGGTGTGACCACAAACATCTTTAACATAGAGTCTTTTATTTTTATCAGGCTTGGATGAACTTTTTCTGTCACCTCTAGGTCAGAAGTTTAACTACACATGTAATCTCTGCAATATCATAATGTAGAAAAAGTGCAGTTTCAACAATATGTCTCACTTTTTCTACATTAAAAGAGATGCAGCGATAGCAAATGAAAGAAACCTCTTGGGTTTAAATAGTAAGAAATGAATGAATTAAAGTTCTAGTAGCTGATTGTTTAGACCAGCGGTCCCCAATTCCCGGGCCACGGGCCGGTACCAGTCCGTGAGTCGTTTATGTTTCAGGGGTTTTATCATTATTTGTTTAGCGTTGTTATCATTAACTCGTTTTCCCTGGGTCTTTTTTTGTGTGTTATGAGTAAATCTTCTTTTTTTTGGTACCGGTACTGGTTTTATTTTGTTGTATTTATCCACGACAACTTAAAGGCCTGTCCATGAAAATATTGTAACCAGTCCATGGCGCAAAAAAGGTCGAGGACCGCTGGTTTAGACTGTCCTGTAGTTATAAAACAGAGTTTTTGATAATTTGTACAAAACTTTTTCCTGTTTGGATCCACTGTGTAAAAGCTACATTTCTATAGTCGTTTCTGTCATTTATTTGTTTATCTATTACTTATTAGGTGTGGTATGAATGGTAGTGGGCGATGTCTTTATCAGTAGGAAAAGCAGTAAAACTTATGAAAATACAGTTAGAAGTCTAAAATTTATGCCCTCATTTACATTTTCCAAAGCCATCCAGTGAGCTGGATTTAAGTCTTTGCTAGACGGATTCCCGGATCTAAACAATATAACTTAATCCTTAAAATTCTCCTTACTCCATGACTTAAATCAAACTGGGAATGCAGTTTGATATAAGTTGATTTAAGGTCTTCTGCTGGAAAAAAGGGAACTCACAGGCTAACCATCTCTCTTCTTGTGTCCGCCTCCGCTTTCTAAAATTGAAACATTTTCACTTACATAAGCCGAAATGCAGTGAAAGATGTGATTAAACCCCATCTCATCTGACCCATACCTTTTGCTTAAGCTAGAAACTTCCAGGATTTTGGAGGAACATCTTTGTAACCATGCCATGTCCTTGGCACAGAGACTGCATATTGCTCGTTTGTTATTTTGAAGGGTCCCTGAATTACCCAGAATTTATTAAAAAGAAATTAGATGTCTTGGCCTTTGCCTCTCTCATTGCCACTACAATCATCCACCTACACTCAAGTCTTCAAAATCTGTCCGAGTCCTACTAAGAAATGTCACATGGGTGTCTTTCCTTTTATGTCTTGGTAAAATACTTGCAGCCCCCCATTGATTACACACGTACTGCTTTCCCATGTTATGTACTTGAATTCTCAGGGATGTTGAACCTTTGCTGCACAGCTGCTTATATAAAAGCAGTAAAACATTACCTCATCAGGATCCAGTGAAGGAGTGGGAGGACAGGTCTTTCTTTTTTTTACCTTCTTTTAATTTTACCTTAGTCTATTCTTGGTTTGCTCTGGCTCTTTGTAGCTCGGCTTCTGTCTTTGCCAGGACATTTCTGTTCATATGTAACCTGTAAAGTTTCCAGCACCTACAGTCGTAGCTGTCTAGACAAGTACGTGCATTAAAAATCAGCCAAACACTGATTGGCTGATTGATCCCATCTCCGTTGTAGATGATGAGTTAATGGCCTCATCAAAATTAATTTACCATGTTCCTTGAGACAAGAAAAACATCGGAACTGACACATGATGTTAAAAGTGTGTCTCCAAACGCGGCACCTCACTCCCCCCCTACCACAGATTTCTATATAAAAATATTCTCTTTTTAAACAGGAAGTCTCATTCTTAGGCTGCTGGATAGCATCAGTCATACTGACACCATTGCAACTGCATCAATCATAATCATGCACAGTACACAACTTGATAGCTTGTTAAATGATCATAAGGTGCAGTCAAAATGTGATGACATGCCTCAGGAACAGTAGCAAAATAGGACAGAGAAACTAAAGAGACCACATCCTAGCCACTGAAACGTTCTCACCGCGTGGCTGGCTACCAAGTGAAGGCAGGAGGCTCACGATGGGTTCTGCAAGCTGCTGATACACAGCTCCACTTTCTCATTGTGTAAATCAAGTATTTTGAAATAGGAAACAAGCTTCTCCACAATTTCTTCCCACTGTGCTTAAAAGTCCAGGAATTTTCCAATTCTCCCTCCATCCTGGGAGAAAGCAACACAATATGTAGCTTTCTTGGCACAAAAATAACATTACAGCATTAAAAAAAACAGGCTTCTTGAATGGTTTTGGATGGATTTGTGTATGTGTGTATATACATTTGTTTTAAATAAAACATTTTTTTATAAACAAAAGAAAAAAAATGTTGTCTGAATAACCTTATCTCTATACTTCTAATTTTCTAGATCTACCCACATTGTTAGCACATTGTGCACAAAATTAAACACATATTTTTTAACATTCATTTATTCATTTACTCCGTGGCCCTTAGAGGTCAAACGGAAAGAAAACGCCAACGAATTAAAAAAATGTTGCAAAAGCACACAAAACACCACATAAGTTGAATAAACCACAACGTAAATCAAAACAAAAGTGTTTCTGGGGACACAATAAGGTGACGGACCAGCATCAGTGAGCAAATGTTCTTATGTTCTATTTCTATTGTATTTTATTCAACTTCAGTTGTATTTTCGGTGCTTTTTGCAGCATTTTTCTTTTTTCCTGTGTTTTTTTAAGTTTCAGTGTGATCCAATAATCCAATGAAAATAACTTCACAAATTTTCCTAGAAGGGAGATTGGATTTATTATACTCTTTGCTAGTTCCATATTGTATTCTTGGACTCCTGCAGTAGCTTTGCATGCTTCACTGTTCAAAAATAATCCTTATTTACAGAAACAGCCCCTCACTTCATCCTCTGACTGAAACACTTGATTTTAGCTTTTTTTAAGCCAGTTTTCTTCTGATTGGTTGCCCCTCATAAATACAAGATTTGAACCAAAGACCTGTTAAAATCTATCCCCTGTGACATCATACAGATCCAATGACAGAAAACATTCCATGAAACTGATCATGTAGAGTGGTATGAAACGGCTCAGAGTGAAACTCTAGGCCAATATAATATGAGCATCCTACAGAAGTACATTTGTCTACAAGTCTCATCTAGGAGCTCGGTTTCAAGAGATTCTTGATCTCCCTGGTTTTACGTGATCAAATAAATCAGTAGGGAACACAAGTTCACTTTAACAACAAAAGGGAAGCCTTACAGATACCAAAATGTCATCACAAATCCTCGTCTTATAAAACATCCTTGCCGTTTCGTGTTCTTTTTGCACAACTTCAGTCCAACTGAGTTTTATTTATATAACACAAAATCACAACTGCAGTTGCTTCAAGGTGCTTACAGTTGCTCTGCCATTTAGAGGCCTCAATGGCAGCCTGAAAGCGGGTTAATCGTAAAGAACCACACTCCTCGATTGAGGAGGGAATGAAACAAACAAATAAACAAAAAAACTCTGTTGAAGTATAAACTTTGGAATATCAGTGATCATATCAGCTGTAATGATCTGTTTTGTCCTTGATAAAATATTCTCATAATGATTTTTTTTTAAAATATTTAAAAAAAATATCTGCAGCTTCTGAAGATTAAAGATAATTTCTGCATGATTAAAATATGGCCTTAACATTATGCTTGCAACAATGCAAATAGATAAACTTATGCAATGCATATTTTCCATATAATGTAAACATTGCTCTCATACAATGTTTACTTTTACCTGCAATCTTTTAAACAAACTCCACCAACCTCTACTTCTTACTGACCTCAAAGATTACATCCTGATTTCGGTAAATTCCACACTGAATTAATCTACTTGCCTATCTCCCCATGATTGCAGTTTCTTTCACTCAGTTCTTCATCCTTAGATGGATGCTGAGAATACAGTACTTTGATGTGGTGCTTTGTTGCAAAAGACAAAACAAAACAAAGAGCAGCTATGTGTTGTCTGATTTTAAAAAGCAGCAATTTTGAGTTGATTGTATTTAACATTAACTTGGTTTAAATGGGACTGAACAACTTCAAAGGTAGGAATGTAAAGGTATCTACAATTAAAAGGGAACTAATTTGGAACCCTGTGGAACTCCATGGAATATGGGGAGTAAAAGAGGAAAAAGACCCAGCAAAGTAGACACACTTTGTCCTGAGACTACAATGGAAAAGAAAAAAAAAAACAGCCTGATTTACTACAGTATGAGTCAACCTATTACATCAGTGCTTGTTAGTTAAGTTATTGGTAAAACAGACCTGTACAACTACCAGTTATTCACGACAATCTTATGAATGTACTTTTCTTCTACTATACAAGTTTGTGTTGGCCCACAGAGCACTTCTTGTTATCTAGAAAGAAAAAAAATACTTGAGTGTATGAAAATGACAGAAAGGCAGTTCAGAAGCCGAAAGAGCTTTTTTTCCATGTCCAGTGACTTAGAAATGCAATTTACCAGCAACTCCTCCACAGCTGCTGATTATGTGAGTAATTCATCATTTTTTCCCTTTACCTCAGCACTTATTTTTAACCACACACACAGGATAAAGCCACTCATATCAACATAGCAAAAGCAAATGAGTCTAAAGAACTTTAAGCTAATCGAGAGCTACTTGAAAGTGCCTGGACCACTGAAAACTGTTTGTGCCATTTCAAATTAATATTCATTAGATTTTCTGTCTCATTTCCTTCTCTCATCTCTGACAGACTGGATGCTACAGCTAAACTGTGAAGTCAAACTGAAAAACCTTGATTTTACTGCAATAACATAGTACAGTACATTGACTCATTT